CCCTCCCTCCCTCCCTCTTCTTCCTCCTCCTCCTTCTTCCCTCACCCAAGGATATGTTTCCATTGATTTTAGAGAGGCAGAGGAGGAAAAGAGAGAGACATCCATCAATTTATTGCAGTCTGTACACACCCTGACCAGGGATCGAACTGGCATGTGCCGTGACTGGGAATTGAACTCAAGGCCCTTCAGTACATGGGACAATGCTCCAACCAACCAAGCCCACCAGTCAGGGCACTTTTTTCTTGTTTATTGCTGAGTAGTATTTCACTGGATATATGCACTACATTTGTTTATCCATGCCCAGTTGAGGGACATTTTGAGCTGTTTATAGTTTGGGGATTATTAATAAAATTGCTATAAATATCCATATATAGGTATTTGTATGAGCATAGGTTTTCTGTGGGGGGTTTTAAATATATTTTTATTAATTTCAGAGAGTATGGGAGAGGGAGAGATAGAAACATAGAAACATCAATGTTGAGAGAGAACCATTGATTGGCTGCCTTCTGCATATCCCATACTGGGGACTGAGCCTGCAACCCGGGCATGTGCCCGTGACCAATCGAACCCGGGATCCTTTCGTCTGCAGGCCGACACTTTATCCACTGAGGCAAGCTAGCCAGGGCTGAACATAGGTTTTTATTTCACTTGGGTAAATGCCTAAGAACAGGATTGGTGGTTATGTGATGTTTGCTTAACTTTATCAGAAACTGCCAAGTTGTTTTTCAGAGTACCTTAGCCATATTTTTAGCCCTAAACTATAAATCAGAGAGCAAGAACTGAATCTAAGATGATGATGATGTGGTGGTGGTGGTGGTGGTGAAAGCCAACAACATCCCTTGCTTTTAACCATTACACATACTGCATTATTTGACTTTGTTTCCTCAGCAGCTGGCATTGTCCTGGCACACAGTAGACACTCAATAAATACCTATAGAATCAATAAATTTTTTATTATACTCCTCAAGAAGGGTGCTGTTCTCTTCTTGTTTAATTTACTGTCTCTCCAATATTTTGTTAAATAGTGGTTTTTAAAGTTAACAGCAGATGATGCCTGCCCTAGTCAAAGATAATAAGTTTCAGATTTGTTGTATCAGTGATAGAAACAGAGAAATTGAGACTAGCAGATTAGGAGGAGAGGGGAGTAGGGAGTTTAGTCCAAAACAAGTTTAATTTGTAGCAAACACAGGTTGATCAACTGTGGCAGATTGTGTTTTTCTAAAGATGGCAGCAACAATATCTTCCATGCCTTGTACTCCTCTAAAACCTTGTAATTACCCTTTCTAGACATAGAGTATAATTCCCCTCCCCCTTGGGTCCTTGTTTCAATGTGCTAGAAGAAAAACAAGGTGACTTCCAATGTTAGATCATAAAGTGGTAGAGCTTCCACCTTGTTTGCTCAGTCTATTTTATTTTTTGTTAATCCTCACCTGAGGATATTTTTCCATTGATTTTTTTTTTTTTTTAGAGTGGAAGGGAAGGATAGGGAGGGAGGGAGGGAGGTAGGGAGGGATGGAGAAACATCAATGTAAGAGAGACATATCAATTGGTTGTCTCCCGCACACATCCCAACTAGAGCTGGGGATCAAACCTGCAACCCAGGTACATGCCCAAGACATCATGAAGCGAGGACAAACATTCTCATTGTGCCGTGTCTGAATTTCTGATTTACCAAATCTATGAGCATAAGGAAATGGTTGCTTTAAGCCACTACATTTTGGGGTAATTTGTTACACAGCAATTTGAACATCCTCTCTGTGGATCGGATTGCATCCCTCCAAAAGATATGTTGGCATCCTCACCTCAGAATGTACTTCAGAATGTCACGTTATTTGGAGATAGGGTCTTTAAGAGGTAACTGAGCTAAAATGAGGTCATTGGGGTGGGCTCTAATTCAGTGACTAGAGTCCTTATGAAAAAGGGAAATACAGCCCTCGTGGGTATGACTTGGTTGGAGCATCATTCTGTGCACCAAAAAGTTGAGGGTTTGATTCCTGGTCAGGGCACATATGGGAGGCAACTGATTGATGTTTCTCTCTCCCTCTCTCTCCCCCTTCCTCCCTCTCTAAGAAAAAAAATCAGTAAAAATTTAAAAAGGGAAATTTGGACACAGACACACATAGAGGGAGAACTCCATGTGAAGAGTAAGGTAGAATCAAGAGGTATTAGAAACAGTTTGCAGCTTATAAGAACTATTCTAGCTGTAGTGTGGACAACCAGGGCAACATGAGGGCAGGGCAACCAATGAAGGCCATGGCCATGGAGGTGGAGGATGGGAACTGCAGGTGACAGGCATGAAAGGAACATCTGCAGGACTTCATGACCAAGATGGGGCCAAGAAGTCCTGTCTCTGGCCTGTTACATGGCCCAATATTGGTCCTTTTTTGTCTTAAATCCTCCTGTGTTACATTTTCTGTTATTGCACTCAAGGGTTTTTAACTCTCACTTGGGCCTAGTTATAAGAGAAACAAATGAATGTTTGAAAGTAATTACCTCCATTCCTGCCTTCTTTTTTTTAAATTGTAGACTTTATTTTTTTTTAGAGCAGTTTTAGGTTTACAGAAAAACTTAGCAGGAAGTACCCAATGCCCATAAACCTCTCTTCCTTCTCCCCCTCCAGTTTTCCATATTATTAACACCTTGCGTTAGTGTTGTACACTTGTTACAGTTGATGTGCCCATATTGATGCATTATTATTAACTAGAGTCCATAGTTTACATAAGGGTTCACTCTTGTTCTTGTACATTCTATGGGTGTTGACAGCTGTACAATGAACGTATCTACTATTACAGTATCATATGTAGTTTGACTACCTAAAAGTCCTCTGTGTGCCATGTATTCATCCTGCCCCTCACCCTACAACCATTGATCTTTTTACTGTCTTCATAGTTTTGCTTTTTCCAGAATCTCAAGCAGCTGGAATCATGTAGATGCAACCTTTCCGGGTTGGCTTCTTTCAGTCAGCAATATGCATTTAAGTTTTCTTCATATCTTTTTGTGGCTTGATAGCTCATTTCTTTTTATTATTGAGTATTTCTTTTTAATTAATATTCCATTGTGATGACACTGTTATCCATTCACCGACCGAAGAATATCTTGGTTGCTTCCATCTTTTGGCAATTATGGATAAAGCTGCTTATAAACATTTTTGTGCAGGTTTTTGTGTGGACAAAGGTTCTTGGCTCATTTGGATAAATACCAATAAGCATAATCATACAATAAGTCTCTTCATTCCTTTTTCATGTTCACTGCAACCCAGGTGGGGAGGTTGGAGGATGACTTGACCTAGAAAAATGCCTGAGGATTGTATAGGTCTTGGGCATGTGCAGAAACAGAAATGATCTTCGCTGGGGAGCTAAGGGTATTCTCTTAGGACAGAAGTCCTTACCAGGTCCCCCAAATACCCTGGAATTATACATGGGAAGGTGAGCTCTCCTCAGAGTTTCAAGAGTCTAGTAAGCAAGAGAGAGATTAAGCCACAGGTTTTACCTGCAGCTGAAAAAATTCTCAGTGATGGGATGGGAAAGAGCAGCTGGCAGACAACCTCAGTGCTCAGATTCCCTGGAGTGAAGACTAACCCTCTAGTTACCACTTCTAACTGGACTTCAGAGACTCGTGACCAACAGAAGCCTGGGCTGGAAGTGGCCCCAAGGAAAACACTTCCTCTCTCCCCAATTCAAAGAAGTCTAGAAGCACAATGATGTGACGGCAAAGTCTAATTGCACCGTTTATTTAAAAACAAACAGCTGTAAGGTAGAAATGCAGATGCTTTCTTTATTGTAAAGACAGCAGTTACAAAAGGGAATAAATATGACATTAGGAATTATTTTTTAAAAATACAACAAACCCCTGGCATTTGTACACAATCCCAAGAACTCACAAGATATAAAAACGTGTGCTGGAGGTTTAGAACAGCTTCACCACCTTGGAGCAGATGTCGGAAACTTTCTACATGATGAGGGTGGACATGACCTTTGGGATTTCGCAAGACTCTAGATTTGTCACTTGTGAATGTCAGGGGTCTACTGTAATATAATTTGCATAGAGTCAGAGTTAGCAGGAATTCTACTCATTAATAGAACTTCTAAATTATTCTTTTATTATTATAGGTATGTAGCACAGTATTTAAGAGTGGAGAAAAAAGGCTGGAATGGGGAGACATGAATGAAGGTGGGTCTGGGGGAAATGCTAGGGGACAGGAGAACCGTGATGGGAGGAACAGAACTTATCTTTTCACTATTTTGTGTCACCTTGGCAGCATCCCACGCCCCCTGTTGGAGAGGGGACAGGCAATGGTCCAGCTTGACCTGCCTCAAACTTCACCACCATCAAAAGACAAGCGAAGATGCAAAGGCCACTGGCAGGCTCGGGCTAAGAATGAGAACAGGGTAGCCGATGGGAAACAAAGGGGAGGAGAGTGGGGCAGAGAATTACCCACGAAAATGGGCAACATGAACATCACAGCCCCCAAGGGTCATCTCCTCTAAGGACCACCAAGGGGAAGAAGTGCCTGTACAATTTGTTTCCACTATTTGATGTGGAAGAGTAAAAGGAACAAGGAAAAGTCACAGGTGGCCAGAGGCACATTCTGGCTACAGGAAAGGGCAGAGAATGGTGGGAGGAAAAGAGAGGCAAGGAACAGCTGGTCTCTCTCACCTGGGGGTGAGGACGCTCCCTGCTGCCCTGAGGCTACAGCGTTTGCTTGACGGGGTGTGGAGGCCGGTTGGGGTGAGGAATCAGTTGGGGGTGTGGATGCCTGCCCAGCTCTCCCAGGGGCACCTGTGAGGCACAGCTGTAGACAGAGGTCAAGGTCACCCGACTATGTGCTAAAAGTGGCCTTGAGCTCCCGGAAGGCTGCCTGGCGGATCCTCCTCTTCTCCTCCTCCCGCTTCCGCTCATCTTGCTCAGCTTTCAGCTCAGCTTCAAACTTACTGGCAGAGGCCAAGGCTTGGACCTGCAGAGAAACAGCAGAAACAGACCAACAGAGTGAGAGAGGGGAAGAGAACCTAGGAGATGGAGCACCCAGTGAACAGAACTTGGTCGTCTAGAACAGCGGTTCTCAACCTGTGGGTCGAGACCCCTTTGGGGGTCAAACGACCCTTTCACAGGGGTCACCTAAGACCATCGGAAAACACATAGATAATTACATATTGTTTTTGTGATTAACCACTATGCTTTAATTATGTTCAATTTGTAACAGTGAAATTGGGGGTCACCACAACATGAGGAACTGTACTAAAGGGTCGCGGCATTAGGAAGGGTGAGAACCACTGGTCTAGAGCCATGTGACATGAGGCTCCTTCCCCGTGGTCTTCCCAGCTGTGCCTGGTAGTAGCGAGGACACAGTCACTTTGCTATTGTGGGTCGGTCTTCCCGCTTCTCTGCTTTTCCAGGACACTGTTTAATATCCCACCTATTACCCACTTCTACTTTTTTTTTTAAATATATTTTTATTGATTTCAGAGAGGAAGGGAGAGGAAGAGATAGAAACATCAATGATGACAGAGAATCATTGACCAGTTGCCTCCTGCTGCCCCACACTGGGGATTGAGCCCACAACCCAGGCATGTGCCCTAACCGGGAATTGGACCGTGACCTCCTGGTTCATAGGTCTGTATTCAACCACTGAGCAATAATAGCTGGGCTGCTTTCCAGTTTTTATTTCACAACAAAATAACCTCCCTGCTGGGATTTTGATTGGGGCTGTATCACTCTCCTGTGGCAAAGGGATTTCTTTACAATATAGGTTTTCCCTGAAAGCCTCTATTTTTATTCACTACGGTCTTTTAGGTTACCCACTAGAATTTTTGGTTTTCTCTAAATAAATCATTCTAAACTTATTTCCATATATTACATGTTTTTTTGTTTGTATTTGTGAATGGGATTCAGTGCCATTTTTAAAAAATCAAATTTATCTCCAATGATACAATATCAGGTAAACTCATCTTAAAATTCTCTATCTTAGAACTGATTTTCTCTCTGTGTCTCATCAATTAGGTAAACTTTGCAAACACGGTGGGCATGCACATTATTTAATAAAGATGGTGAACTTGCTCTCCAAAACAACCGTTCCCATTTATACCCCACCATCATAGAACACAGGTTCTCACTTCACCACAGCCTTGCCACGGCTTATAATTAACCTTCTCCCTACTTGCCAATCTGATAGGTAAACTGGCACCTTTTATTTCCTCTTTGGTGAAGTACCCATTTGTATCCTTTGCTCCTTTTTCTATTCAGCTATTTTTTTTTTACTTTCCATAATGTAGGTGTTAATTTCTTCTTAATATTTTTCAGTTACTATTTCCAAGTTCTTTGTCTTTTTTAAAATATGTTTTTATTGATTTTAGAGAGAGTGGAAAGGAGAAGGAGAAAGAGATAGAAACATCGATGAGAGAGGACCATCGATTGGCTGCCTCCTGCATACACTCCACCAGGGATCAAGCCTGCAACCTGGGCATGTGCTCTGACTGTGAATCGAACTGGTGACCTCTCTTGGTTCATGGATTGATGCTCAAGTCACTGAGCAACATTGGCCGGGCTTATTTGTCTTTTAACTTCAAGGTAGCTTAAGCCATACAAATATTCTTAAATTTTGATGCAATCAATGCTTTCCAGCCATTTCCTTTCTGACTTTGGAATTTCATGTCATGTTTAAGAAGTTTCTAAACCCACTTTCCTGTATTTCCTTCCAATACTTTTATGGTTTTATCTTCACATTCAGCTTGTTGTTGTTGTTAATCCTCATACAAGGATATTTTTTTCATTGATTTTTAGAGAGAGTGTAAGGGAGGGAGGGAGAAAGAGAGACAAATGTGAGAGAGGCAAATCGGTTGGTTGCCTCCCGCAGGCACTCCAACTGGGGCCGGGGAGCAAGCCTGCAACTGGGGTATGTGCCCTGGACCAGAATCGAATACGGGACCCTTCAGTTCATGGGCTGATGCTCCAACCTCTGAGACAAATCAGGTAGGGCAAAAATGATCTTTTTCATATACTAAACTAGAGGCCCTGTGCATGAATTCGTGCACCAGTGGGGTTCCTCGGCCTGGCCTACAGGATCGGGCTGAAACTGGCTGTCCAACATCCCCAGAGAGGCCCTGGATTGCAAGAGGGCGCAGGCCAGGTGAGGGACCCCACCAGTGCACGATCGGGGTTGGGGAGGGATGCAGAAGGTTGCCCAGCCAGGGAAGGACCGTGGGAGGGCTCAAGTCCAGATTAGCCAGACCCCAGCAGCAAGCTAACCTACCAGTTGGAGCATCTGCCCCTGGTGGTCAGTGCATGTCATAGCGACTGGTTGACCAGTTGACTGCCCCTGGTGGTCAGTTCACGTCATAGCGAGCGGTTGAGCAGCTTTAGCATTAGCATATTACACTTCGATTGGTTGGAGGCCAACTGGATAACCCAACACTTAGCGTATTAGGTTTTTACTATATAGGATTCCCACATGAAGGAGATCTGTTTTTATTATTGTCTATCCTGTTCTACTATTTGGTTTATTCCTGTACCCATACTACATTACTTAATATTACCATTTTATTGAATGTTTTTATACTTCTAAAAAAGTAAATATTCTTTTATCACGTTGAAGATAAGTAAATATTCTTTTATCACTGGGCCGGCGTGGCTCAGTGGTTGAGCATTGACCTGTGAACCAGAAGGTCATGGTTCAATTCCTAGTCCGGGTTGCTGGCTCGATCCCCAGTGTGGAGCATGCAGTAGGCAGTCGATCAATGTTTCTCTCTTGTCATTGATGTTTCTCTCTCTCCCTCTCCCTTCCTCTGAAACCTATAAAAATATTTTTTAAAAAAAGAAGATGGTTTTATTTTAAAATGTGTTATTATTAAAGTTAAACTTCACCAATGTCTCTGAGATGTCTAACTGACCACATTTTTCTAATTTGGTCTACCTATGATATCAATATTTTAAACATTATCCCAGTCCTCTTTTTATTATTATTAATCCTCACCCAAGGCTATTTTTCCCATTGATTTTTAGAGAGGGGAGGGAGGAAAGGAAGGGGAAAGAGAAAGAGAGAGAGAGAAACATTGATGTGAGAGAGACACATTGACTGGTTGCCTCCCAACATGCCCCAACTGGGGACAGGGAGTGAACCTGCAACCCAGGTACATGCCCTTGACAGGGAATTGAACCCACAACCCTTTGGCACACGGGCCAACACTCCACCACTGAGCCACACTGGCCAGGACTAGGAAATGATATTTTCCAAATTTCCCAGGTATTTCTTAAGACATGAACAGAAACTATTTGCAACCAACATTGTGCCCTTCAAATGAAAGGGCATGCCTCCCTTTTACCTTAAGTCACCTTAGATTTAACTCTAAAACCCAGCTTATAACTTTTCCTACTTAAATTATTCCCATGGCTGGGGGGATGTCCTGCCTTGATGGAAAAAAAATGTCACCAACAAGCCTTGTAGCATTTTACATTGAGTGGCCAGATTTTTATGATCACCTGCTGTTTGTAGGCAAATTAGCTGTACACTGCATCGTATGGATATGGAAGCCAAAGGCCTGTTCAAACACCTTTGCTGTCTGCAGTTACCAAGATAAAATGTCTCCAATTCGCACAGGAACACAAGGATTGGACAGTCCAGCATTGGAAAAAAGTCATGTGGTCCGATGAATCATGTTTCCAGTTGCATCATGCAGATGGCAGAGCGAGAATTTGGCAGAAACAGCATGAAAGCATGCACCCCACATGCACGAGTACAACCCTTCAAGCTGGTGGGGGCAGTGTTATGGTTTGGGGCATGTTTTCCTGGCATGATTTGGGCCCTTGAATTTGTGTGGAACAACCTCTGAATAGCACAACATACTTATGTATCATTGCTGATCAAGTTTATCCTGTCATATTGATGGCGTATCCCAATGGAGATGGCTTCTTCCAACAAGACAATGCGCCATGCCACGGTGCTCATATTGTGTAGGAGTGGTTTCAAGTACATGAGGGAGACTTTACCTTGCTTAGGTGGCCCCCACAATCACCAGATCTCAATCCAATTGAGCATTTGTGGGACGAAGTTAAAAGAGCCATCAGGCAGCTGCCGCAGTATTGAAGGCAATAGGTGGCCCAATGAAATACTGATGGGGTGGTCATAACAATCTGGCCACTCATCATAATATATATCCCACGTTCAAAGGCTGTTAAATCACGTTGTTTACCCATATCTTCAGAAAAACATCACTTCTACTGTTATGGTAAACAACCTGCTTCCCTATTTATAATGATCTGGCCCTCTAGCAACTTCAGCACAAAATTATAGCTAATTTGCCTACAAATGTCAGGTGGTCATAATAATCTGGCCACTCAGTGTACATCCCACCTCCAATCAAGTGGTCATAAGTACTGAGAGTCCCCCATTGTCACTACCTTCATTGGATCTACGATTCTCCAGAATCTATGAAAGCTTCCCAAGTCCAGCCTCACCCCAGGCAAGTCGATCCCTATAGTGTCCACCACTGATCATGTCAGGCTCCTGCTCATGCTCCTCTGAGGGCCACCCCACCACCACCACCACACACACACCCAAGTGTGCAGTTGTGCTTTCCAAGCCTGGCTCTGCCCTGAACCACCTGCAGAGCTGATTCAAGTCCATGTTTCCTGGGCCCCACCCTGGAGAACCAGGTAGATCTGGGTGGGACTGGGAAGCTGGCCTGCAGATGGTTCTGGTGCTCAGTAGGCTGAGGAAGGCCTGGTCTCTAGGGGAGCCCAGACTCCCTGTCTAAGTGTGTCCAGTGTGGACAAGGGCCAGCCTCCAGACACTCCTCACCCTCCATGCCTTGGAGCCTTTGCTCCTGCCATTCCCACGGCAGGAACGCCTTCCCTTCCTTGATTACAAGGTGAGTTTCCATTCATCTTTGACATCTGTCACAGACGTCAGCTCCTTTATGGCCCTCTCCTAAATTCAAGGGGTGATTCCCTGCATTTGTCACTCAAGCAAATGTTTATTGAGGGCCATTATATGCCCAGCACTGTAATTATAAAGATAATATACCTACCCTGCCTTTGAGTCTGGGTGGGGAGGCAGATGCGTACACATAACACACTCAAAAAATTTTATTTTATTGTTATTCTTTTCATCTTTTCTCCTGGTTATAAAAATAATGCAGCCATAATTATAAAACATTACAAAAATATTTAAAAAGCCCCTCAAACAACAAGTGTTACTAATGCTTTGGAAGTAATTATCCAGGGTGTATTTAATACTTACAAAATGGGGTTTCAAACAAACTGTTTTTGCTTAATTCATTTTCGGCATCTGTCCATACATACCCATGGCTGTAGGGTGTGCACATGTGTGGGTGTAATTCCCGATAATGGAAGTTTCAGTCATTTCCAATTTTTCTTTTATTTTTTAATTTATTTTTATTTTATTTTATTTTTTTTATTGCTTAACGTATTACAAGGGGTATTACATATGTGTTCTTTTTTTCCCCCTCGCCCTTGACAGTCTCCAATTTTTCTTTATTACTAACAGTGCTGTAGGAAAAAACCCTTGTCTGGATTTATATTTATATACAGACAAGGTTAGACACACAATGCTGGTGCTGCAGGTGCATTTACATGAGTGTCTCTGAGGCCAAACTCCTATAGGCAGAATTCTAGAGGTGGAGAATATCAAAAGTTAACAGCTAGATCCAAACTGCTCTCAAAAAATTGGGTCGATTTATGTACTTGCCCAAAGTGTCCAAAATAAATTGTAATACCTTGAATAAATAAATTATGATAGCACTTCCACTCATAATACCGAAACGCAGAAGAGGACAGACTTTCTCAACTGGGATGATCAGGGAAAACAGCCAAGAGGAGGCAACTCTTTAACATGGGTCTTAAAGAATGAGTAGAGTTTTCTAGGAAGAGGCATTTGGATGGGGCCCTCCAGGCAGAGGACATAGCAGTATTGAGGCCCAGTCATGAAAAGCATGGCAGCATTTGAAACATGCAAGGGGTGGACGAGGCTAGAGTGGAGACCAGATCTAGGTTATAAAAGGTCTGAATGCCCAGATAAGACGTTCCCAGAGACTTCATACAGACTTGGACAAAAGCACGCGGCACACTACACTGCAGCCGTGGAGTGAAAAGAGCATCCTGCTAAGGTGAGTCTCAGTCCTCGACCCCAGCCCAAGGTATCACGAGAGATCTGCATACGTTGACTCAGTCAATGAATGGGGAGGACCCATCCCACCAGAATTAGCCCTTGCCTCCTCTCTATCCAGACTGACAGTTTGCTTTCCTCACTAGACTGAGTGCGTGTCCTGGGCAGGGCAAACGTGTCATCTACTACACCCTTGTATCGCCTGAGCTGAATGCGGGGCCAGGCATTGCCAGGGGACTGGGTTGAATCAATGTTATGTCATGAAGGAAGGGCCAAACCACTTTCAGGGTTGGACACACAATGCTGGTGTTGAAGGCACAATGAGTGGTCGCCCTGCCCCTGACTATCAGATGATGGCAGTAGGAATTCAGGCACCGAGTCCGCCATGATTCAGTTTACATGTTGGCACAAAAATGATGGACTGTTTCTCCAAGCAGCATCACAGAGAAGTGAGAAGATAATCAAGCTTAAGGGCCCGAGCAGGCTGAAATGTGTTGCCAAGGACAATTTGTCTCTGGGCAGACTAGTAGAGTAAGCCAAAACCACACAAGAGGCAGGCTCCTGTCTGGGGTGGTGAGGAGTCCAACAGCTCGTATCACATATGGAATACTCACAGTGAGCCAGGTACTTGCTTAACACTTTACGTATATGTGAACTCTTGTAATCCTCACAGCAATCCCATTATCTCTGACCCCCCCTCTCCCGCACTGCACAGATGAGGAAACTGAGGCACAGACGGGTAACAGGAGGAGGCAGCCTTACCAACTGCATTCCACTGCTGTGGTGGACAGGGGGCTTGGAGGGCTCTCCTGATCTCTCTTTCTGCAGGTGTGCTCTGCAGAGGTGAAAATGACAGTGCCCAGCAAGGGGTGGGCGCTCCATAAATGTTCAGTGGCCGGATGAACATGTGAATGAAAGGCAGCACCCGGAGGAGATTCAAGACCGTGCACTGCAGATTCCTTCCCCACTCCCAGACACTGTCAATGGAGCAAATTTGGGGCAAGCCACCAAGGCTCCCTCCTCTGGCCCCATTATTCACTTGTTTACACACAAGTGTGTAAGATGCAAATATGGAGGTAGCTGTCCAAGTAACCCAATCTGAAACCAGAGTCTGATGCATGTGCCATTCAGTTGTGTTTTTAATTTGTAGATTGCACGCAGACACATTCACTCTCCTGCAATCACGCAGGATCTATTTAAGCTTGTCCTGAGGGAGTTAATGAGAGAGTCACTAACCGGGATCTCCTGTTGGGCAGGGTGCAGGGAGGGGGCGATTGTCCCACACAGGAAGAAGCCACCTACCTTGGCTTCAAAGAAGTTCTTGGCACCTTTGACGCCCTCCAGGGCAACATCGATCTCAGACAGCTTGGCCAGGGCCATCAGCCCACTTTCCTCCTGCAGCTCGCCTGCGGCAGCCTTGTGGAAGATGAGCAGGAACTGTGGGGACAGGTCAACATCGCTGAGAGATTGACAACCATCCCCTTCGGCCCCACTAGATTGCTTACCTTTCTTAGTAGTTTCTAAGAAATCCTTATAGCTATGTTTCAAATGCTTTAGCTCTGTCTCTTCGCTTTTGTTCATGGTCATTTTTGACTTTCAAAAATTTTACATAAAATCTATCAACCTTTTTCTTGTTTCTCACCAGTGTTGTGCTTAGAAAAACCTTCCTCGCCACCAGGGTTATAGAAACAATCACCCATGTTTTTTTGTCTACTGCTTTTATGACTCCCTTTTTTTTAACATGTAAATATTTAATCTCTGAAATTTATTCTGATCTATCATGCGATGTTGATCATTAACCTTATTTTCCTCCAAATGGTTAGTTAGTAATCCCCACATCATTTGTTGAATAATCCATCTTCTTCTTCCAGATTCAAAATGTGACCTGAATGAGTTAATCTTTAAAGCCAGCCTGTGCCAAAGCCTCCGTAGAATGCATTTAAAAATAAATAAATAGGCTAAGCTGAAAAGGTTGGCCCCCAGCTTTCCGTCTTTCTCCCCCAAGTCAATTTTATGGCTTTTAACGTCTCTTCTTTAAAGAATTCTTCTGAATGTATTTGTCAATAATGGCTACCCAACTTCTACCATTTCATTGGAAGGAATATGAGTTATGCATTCCACATCAAAGAGGCTCCTCCAGGTTTTCATGTGCTACCTAAAATATAGGGAAATTCCAGGTTCTTTTTCATGACCTTCTTCTCCAGAGAATGGCTTCCCAAGGGAAAGGAACATTATTTAAAGTATAGTGAGAGGTAAAACACCTACAACAGGCTCTCCAAATTCCACCTGGGGTGTCTTTTACTGCCAAGACTCTTAATTCCTAGAGAGAAGTGTCTTTCATTAAGTCAAAGTTTCAATCTCCTCACCCTGGCCAGTGTGGCTCAGTTGGTTGAGCATTCCCCCATGCAGGGATGGGTGACAGGTTCGATTCCCAGTCAGGGCACATGCCTGGGTTGCAGGCTTGATCCCCAGTAGGGGGTGTCAGGAAGCAGCCAATCAACCTCTATGTTGCTGTTGTTTTTTCCCTTTCTCTCTAAAATCAATAAAAACGTATTAAAAAGAAAAAGTTTTAACCTCTACCACCACCACCCCAAAAACCTTGCTAATAAAACTTTCTTTGTAATTCTTGCTGTGGGGGTCTTGACTCACTATGGACATTGCTGTATGGATGAAGCAAGATGTGCAGGGACACGCAGCTTTGCAGCTGCTCAGTAGCAACACGATGTTCATCCACCCGCAACTTCAAACTCTCTCACTAGAGGCCGGCAAAGACTCAGTTTGCTGCAGACTATCAGAGCCCAAACACTGGCTCCAGAGGCTTGGAAAATACTAAGTATACTTATATGAAGCTATATATGATATCAGCTTTATCACTGAATATAAAGACACTTCGGTGTTTCATTTTATATGTCTGAGAGTCAAGTTCACGTACTATAAAAGAATTAATACCTACATATTGGATGTAAAAAGAAAAGGAAAAAAAGCCTGTTGAAGAACGTGAGGTCCGCAAGAGTAGAAGGGAGGGCAAGGGGGTTTGGGGACGGTTGTGGCCGGGCTCTCACAGAAGAGACAGAAGCAGCGAAGACTTCAATGCTGCAAATGTGAGCCACTCCAGGAGGGGAGGAGGGAAGTATCTGTCCCTTGTCCCTCGGTACCCTGCCTGTCTTTAAAGCATTTAGTTACAGAAGCCGCCC